AATTACTAGAGGTCGAGGATGATTTGGAAGATCTTGAGGCAGAGGCAACTCATCAGATGAGTGCTCTTACTGCTACAGAAAGGGCCATTTGAGAGATAATTGCTTTCACATTATCGGGTTCCCCCTAACTTTCAAAGAAGAAGAAGACAAGGTAGTCCACTCAGTCGAGCAAATCATGTTGAAAACTCCACCCTTCACAATACATCCAAGCCACAACAAAATGCATCATCTGATCACCAGCTGCTGTCTTCAAAGGATTATGAGAAGATAATCGAGAACTTGAAGAAAGAAGTCCAGACTCTTTTAGCTAAATCACTCTCAATAGGAGGAGTAGTCACTAATGACTCGATAAAGCCTTCAGGTTTGAACACTTGCCTATTCTCTAGTACACCCACACTTAACCCACAACCACATTGGTTATTAGATTTTGGAGCTTCTTGCCATGTTGTGAGCAAACTATCATATTTTGACTCGTATCATGAATACAGTGGACACTCACTTAGAATAAAAATTCCTACTGCTGACAAACTTACGGTCATTCACATTGGTAGCATCAAGATATTTGAGAACATTATTTTAGAAAATATTTTATATGCTCTAAGAATCTGTTATGATTTAATATCAATTTCCTGACTAACAAAAGATCAACAGTGTGTGGTTGCCTTCTTTCCTGATAAATGTTCATTATAAGACCTCTTCAGTGGTAAAACCAAGATGATTGGTAGAGTAGAGTCTGGTCTGTACTTAGTTGATGAAAATCTTGTCCTATCATCTAACATTCATAATACTAATGCCATTTCCAATGAAAATATTTAGCATCTAAGATTAGGACATCCACCTGATTCTATCCTTAAACATGTAATCCCTTTACAAGACAAGGTGTCTTCTATTAATTTCTCTGGTTGTGATGTTTACTTTAAAGCAAAACAGACCCGTTTGTCCTTTCTTTCCAGTTAAATAAAAACTAATTCCTACTTTGATTTGCTTTATGTTGATGTTTAGGGTCCCTATAAACATTCTACTCATTAAGGTTACAAATTTTTCCTCACCATCGTTGATGATTTCTCTCGAACTAGCTGGATTTATCTCATGCATAATAAACATGAAACTTTACACTATCTAAAGCAATTTATTTCCCTCATAACAAATCAATTTTCTACCAAGGTTAAACGAATTAGAAGTGATAATGGAACAGAATTCATGAATCAATTAGCCTCTACATACTTTAATGAAAATGGAATTGTTCATGAAACCACTTGTGTCCATACCCCACAATAAAATGGGGTTGTAGAAAGAAACCATTAGCACATATTAGAGGTTTCTCGAAGCCTGATGTTGCAAGTTAGTGTGCCAATCCAGTTTTGGGGGGAAGCTGTTAGGACTGCTATTTACATCACTAATAGGATTCCTTCAAAGGTCTTAGATTACAAAACATTATATGAAATATTATATAAGAAGCAACCTGACTTATCAAATATAAAAGTTTTTGGTTGTCTAGCATATGCTAAGATCCCTGGAAGATTAGACAAATTTGATTGTAGGTCTGTTGAATGCGCGTTCCTAGGGTATCCAAGTAATCAAAAGGGATATATTCTCTATGACATTAAAAATGATAATATAATTGTCAATCGAGATGTTGTTTTTTCTTGAAAACTAGTTTCCTTTTCTAGAATAACAGGAACAGGTACGTTTTCAACATCCTTTTATTTTTGATGATGTTCCTGCCCCTACAATTCCTTCTGATTCTTTTATGCATCCTAATAATGAGCCTAACCTTGAATCTGATGATAATAATATTACACCTAATAACAGTAATGACTTAGGAAGTGAAAGACGTGAAAACTTAGATAACAACAGACCCATTAAACAAAAGAGAGCGCCCAACTGGCTTAGGGATTATGATTGCACTAATATAGATTTTCTGAATAAAATGGACAGGAAAGGCAATAAGAAAATCTTGTATCCTATGCAACACAGCATCAGTTATGCAAATATTTCACAATCTTATAAGGAGTTCATAGTTGTTACAGATGACATAAGTGAGCCTGACACCTTTAGGGAAGCAATTAAGGATGATAGATGGATAAAAGCAATGCAAGATGAGATAACTACATTAGAAAATAATAAGACATGAGAAGTAGTAGACCTGCCACCAAGAAAGAGACCAATAGGCTGTAAGTGGATCTTTAAAAAGAAGTATAATGCTGATGGGACCCTAAATAAATTAAAGGCAAGATTAGTGGCAAAAGGCTTTAGTCAAAAGGAAGGAATAGACTATACTAAAACCTTTTCTCCTGTTGTAAAAATGACAACAGTAAGATCAGTATTAGTTATTGCTGCACATAATAAATGGAACATAATTCAAATGGATGTGGATAATACTTTCCTTCAAGGGGACTTAGATGAGGAAGTTTATATGAAAATACCATCGGGATTTAGTAAACAGGGGGAGAAAAGGGAATGTAAACTTATCAAATCTCTATATGGTTTAAAACAGGCAGCTAGGCAGTGGAACATAAAGCTGTGTGAGGCTTTAATTTCAGGAGGTTTTGTCCAAAGTAAACATGACTATTCATTGTTTATGAAACAAGATAGAGATGAGTTTATTATTGTGTTGGCTTATGTTGATAACCTGATAATAACTGAAAATAGCCAAGAGGGGATAAAGAAAACTAAAGAATTCATGCATGCAAATTTTAAAATGAAGGATTTAGGAGCATTAAAATATTTTCTTGGTATTGAGGTTGCTAGATCATATAAAGGATTAATACTCAATCAAAGAAAATACACTTTAGATTTGATAGCTACCACTGGCTTAGGAGCATCAAAGTCGAGAAATGTCCCCATAAATCCTAGTCTGAGACTTTATAGTGAGCTAAAAAAGGGGGAGAAAGATGACCTATCACTAGATCCTACTAGATATAGATGTTTGATTGGAAAATTAGTATATTTAACAAACACTAGACCTGATATAAGCTATATGGTCTAAGTGCTAAGTCAATTTATGAGTAATCCTAAAAAATCACATTTAAAGGCTGCATTAAATGCTGTAAAATATCTTAAGAGGGATCCAGGTAGAGGTCTTTTATTCCCTTCCACAGGAAATTTAATGCTAGAAGGATTTTGTGATTCAGATTAGGCCTCATACCCAGAGTCCCGAAGGTCTGTCACAGGTTACTTAGTTAAACTAGGTGGGTCAATTATTTCTTGGAAATCAAAGAAGCAAACTACAGTTTCTAGGTCTTCTGCTAAAGTAGAATATCAGGCTATGGGAAGTATTGTGTCTGAAGTTATATGACTCACTAGTTTATTTAAAGATTTACATGTGTATGACTTAACTCCTGTGTGCATTCACTATAATAGCAAAGCTGCAATTCAAATAGCTTCAAATCCAGTTTATCATGAGCGAACAAAACACATTGAAATTGACTGCCATTTTGTGCGAGAAAAACTTCAAAGTGGATTGATCACTTTAAAACATGTGGCATCAAGCGAGCAGTAGGCAAATATTTTAACTAAGGCTCTTGGTCGAAAATTACACGAGAATATGCTGTACAAGTTAGGCACTTTTAATATCTTCAGGCCTAACTTGAGAGGGAGTGTTGAAATTTAAAGTGTATTGGATTATTATGTATTGGATCATTAGTCAAGTAAGATCTGAGTCAAGTAAGGTCTGGGCTTATATGCTTATAATGGCCTACGTGCCTTTGCCTGCGTTTTTAGTTTTTCTGATTTATTCTTTCTTATTTTCTTGCCTCATTCTTGATGGCTATTTAAAGCCCATAAGAGAATGAGGAAAACAGTCGTGTAACTAGAAAACTTTTTTTGAGATGAATTATTCAATTGAGTATGAATTTCTACAGATAGCTGAGAAGAAATGGACAACACTCGCTCACACGCGCTCACCTGACAAAGGCAAGAAGGGCTTTGCAAAAGACCCTACTCTCACGGAGGAGAGAGAACGCTCTCGAGAGGTTTTGCGCCTTTGGCCTTCATTACATAACATTCTTTTTTTTTTTTTTGAACAGACATTACATAACATTCTTGTGGTGTGATATTTACATAAATTCTCTCTGATTTTTTGGCCAAAATTTCTTTCCCTGATAAATTGTCTTTCTCAAGAGACTAATATTTTGAAATAAATGAATATTCTTAGAGAACCATATGCATATAATTTATATTCTTTGCACCTCACAAATTTTTTTAAATTGAATAAAATTTTATTTATGTAATAATATTATAAATAAATCTCATACGATATTCTGTTATTTGATAATAACTTGAATAAAAGTTTCACACTATCTTCCTAATATATCTTCTAAAAATATAAATTACAGAGAAGTAAGAAAATATTTGTTGATATAGTAATTTAACTAGACGTTAAAAATAATAACAAATAATAAAATAAGATGCAAAATATATATATATATATATATATAGAGAGAGAGAGAGAGAGAGAGAGAGTTCTCCCTCAAACGAAAAACACATACATATATATTTGATATTTTTGTGCAAAAATCCAATGAAAAGTTGAAAACTCATGCCAATATTCTTTCTACGTAGTGTCTCATTCAATTACATGCTCTATTCATTTAAAGTTATAAGTCATTTATAAATAATTTTCACCAAATAGTTAACATTATTAAAAATTAACTACTCACTTCATATTTGTCATTATTTAATAGAATAATATTATTAATTTTAAATATTCATTAAAAGCATTTTAAAAAAAAACCTCATCAATAACTATATAAAAAATATCAAAATTGTTTATATTTTCAAACATAATATTTTTAGAAAATGTCTTATAGTGTTAAATTAAAATTAAAATAATACATATTTGTGAGCAAAAATTCAATGAAAAGTTGAGAACTCACATTCCACGAAATCTCCAAAAGGAACCATGGAAAAAGGGTCGAACAGTCGAACACCAAGAAAGTGTTAGCCTCCTCTGTCGTATTTGCACGATAATGTGGCGCGCGCGCTGTGTCGATGCGATATTCTTTTTTTTTTTTTTGGTAAGGGAAAAAAAATTGTCGTGAATCACTGAATCGAATCAATGCCTGAGCTATTTCCAAGTTGGCAAAACATTGTTGAAGACGTGAAGCGATTGTTCCTCATTCACTGAAGCCCCACTTTGGATTGCAAGTTGCAAGAGCTACACGTCAAGGCTCTTAGTCACGCACACCTGACGTAGAGCTTTCCCGAAGGGAGAGGAAGAAGAAGAAGAAGAAGAAGAAGAACGATCCAGAGGAAAATGGACAGATCGTTTTCACAGACATCACAAAATGGAAAATGCGAACCAGAGGATTCCGGAGATGCAGAAATAATCATCGTGGGTGCTGGTGTTGCTGGGGCGGCTCTTGCTTACACGCTTGGGAAGGTGAGAATGTTACTTGTTTTGTCCTTATAGGATTCCCATGCCCTCCATCTGTATGATGGTTTTCCTCGCTCGTAAATAATACAATTTTGAAATCAGTTTTTGATGTTCCTAAGAAAAGTATGTTGAGAACTTGTGAATACTTTGTTTTCGGCTGTAGGGAAAGCTTCAAAAGCTTGAAAGGAAAGAGAAGTAATATTTTTCACTGGTATTTTTCAATGAATTTCAGGGGGCAAACCAGGCGCCAAATAGAAAATACAGCCAGGGCATAATTTTTATTTTTGTCAATGATTTGTGTCATTATCTTTCCTTTTCTTTCTCATTTTATTTTCAATCATTCAATGAAAGCAACAAAAATTGTGAAATTCTTGTATTTCTTTCTTACCAAAATCTGTATGCTCACTGGATTTGGGGAAAAAAAAACAACACCAATGCCTCAGACCTTTGCCGAAACTTTTTCTCTGCCATTTTACCATCAATCGGACGGGGAGCAAAATAAATTTGTGAAATGCCTTGTATTTTTTTGTTTTCAAAATCCCTGCACTCACCGGATTTTCCTAGACTTCTGCCATGTCAGAATCTGAACATAGTCGAACCGAGCGTCGCAACCTGTAGGGAGTCTGGTATTTCTTTCTTTCCAAAATCTGTTTGTGAGACCCTCGAGATTAGGGAAATAACAAATAGCCACTAAATTCTAATACTTTTGTAACTTTTTTTTTTTAATTTCATTTTACCATCAATCAATCAACGAAAGCATCAAAATCAGTTTTTTTTTTTAAATTACTTTCATTCATACGCCGTCCGGGGCGCACTGGCGCTCACAAGAGAAGGCAATTCACAAAAACCCACCAGAGTATGGAACTCACAATCTCTGCAATTTTCCATCCAGATTCAGTTCAGATGTGTGATTATTTTCTGCCTCTGAACTTCTGTTGCATGGAGGCATGAAGCTGTAATAGCTGCTAATGATCTTGCTCTATGCTTATTGCAGGATGGACGAAAAGTGCATGTTATTGAAAGGGACTTGAGTGAGCCTGACAGAATCGTGGGTGAATTGCTGCAGCCTGGAGGGTATTTGAAGTTAATTGAGTTGGGTCTTGAGGGTAGGCAAAATCTGAAAGACCTTGCTAATTTAGGTCTTTTGGCGGATGAATAATGTTACTAAGTTGTGGCAGATTGTGTGGAGAAAATTGACGCTCAGAGGGTCTATGGCTATGCTCTGTATAAGGATGGCCAAAATACCAAACTGACTTATCCTTTGGAAAAATTTGACACTGATGTTTCTGGGAGGAGCTTTCACAATGGGCGTTTCGTACAGAGAATGCGAGAAAAGGCTGCATTTTTCCCAAGGCACCTTTGTCTTTTCACTTCAGACTTCTATTTTCGTTGCACTGTTTCTGTTTCTAAAATTTGGAGATTTACTCCTGCAGTCTTTTTTCTAAATTATTTTTAAAAAAATAATAATAAAATTTATCTGTAATATATAAATAATAATTTAATTTTTTAAAATATTATAATTTTTCTTAAGTCCTTAAAAAAATTTCTATCATTAATAAATTTTTATAAATTATCAAATTGTTCTTATTAAAAATAAATAATTCACAACTTTTTTTTATATTCATAATTTTTTTTATATTTACAACAATGAAATAATAAATAAGAAATTTAACATGTGAAGTTATGATTTACTGTTATATTTTTATAAATATAAGAAAAAAAGTTATGAATTATTTATTTTCAATAAGGATAATTTGATAATTTATATAAATTCATTAATGACAGAAAAGTTTTTAAAATTTTAAAGGAATTATGACATTTTGAAAGATCAAATTATCATTTATATATTTTAGAGGGATGTTATTATCATTTTTTCTTATTTATATTAATTTTATCAATATCAAAATAAAAATAAAAAATTATAAAATTTTAAATATGTTCCTATATAATAAATTTTAAAAAAATAATATAATATTTTTTTATAAAAGATAATTTTAAAAATATCTTTTATATATTATTTAAAAAAATTATATTATAAATTAAAATGTGATTTATAAATAAAATTGAGGGAAGATTATAGCGTTCAATATATATATTTTTTAAGTTGTTTTGAAATCCCTCCTTTTATTTTCAGGCAAAAAAAGAAAAGAAAAAGAAATCCTTGCTTTTTGAGGGTCACTGATATCCTTCATTCACATTATGTTACCTCCAATATTTCTGCAGCGTGAAATTAGAACAAGGAACAGTTACATCTCTGATTGAAGAAAATGGAATCGTCAAAGGGGTGCACTGCAAAACCAAGGATGGACAACAGCTCACAGCGAAGGCTCCCCTCACCATAGTCTGTGATGGTTGCTTTTCCAACTTGAGGCGTTCTCTTTGCAACCCAAAGGTAAATATACTTGGCTTCTTTCGCGGTCATACAGCGATGTTTATCTTCCAAGCACAGATGCTAAAACAAAAGACAGAGCTTCATAAAATATGAATTGAATTTATGAAACCTTGAAGAGTTATGATGTGTCTAATATGAATGGTCAGATACATGTTGAAGATAGACACAACTCGAATTTTTTTTTTTTTGGAAGTTTTTTGTGCTTCATTATTGATTTTCACTCTTTGTATTGCAATATTTATCGCCCTTTGTTGCATAATTGTATTTTGAGCAGCCCCTTTGTTGCTTAATTGACATGACTATTTCCCCAGGTTGATGTACCATCTCATTTTGTCGGTCTTGTCCTGGAGAATTGTGATCTTCCATATTCAAATCATGGACATGTTATCTTAGGCGATCCTTCACCCATTTTATTCTATCCCATCAGCAGCACTGAGATTCGCTGTTTGGTTGATGTGCCTGGCCAAAAAGTACCTTCTATTGCCAATGGTGAAATGGCCACATATTTGAAATCTGTCGTAGCTCCTCAGGTGCCATATCATAGCTCACTCTTCTTTATTATCAGCTGTTTTAAACAAAGAACATTCTTAGAGCTTCAAGCTAGTTGCTAGATAAACGTTATGCAATAAAGGACATTGTATGGTTTCAGATTCCACCAGAGCTGTATAGTTCTTTTCTAGCAGCCATTGATAAGGGTAAGATAAGAACCATGCCAAACAGAAGCATGCCTGCCTCTCCTTATCCCACACCTGGCGCCCTTCTGATGGGAGATGCCTTTAATATGCGTCACCCTTTAACAGGAGGAGGAATGACTGTAGCACTGTCCGACATTGTTGTGCTGAGGAATCTCCTTAAACCACTTCGTAACTTGCATGATGCTTCTGCTCTTTGCAAGTATCTTGAATCATTCTACACGCTGCGCAAGGTAAAAGTGATATAAATAAGAATCCTTCTTAGGCTTTCACTCACAAGGCATAACATGGCACAGAAAAAATCTTTACTGCAAAGTAAATATGATATGAAGCTTCTGGATGACTGTTTCTTTAATATTAGTGTTTAAGTAAACCATATTTCGTGGCTACCAATGCGTTGTTTGGGACTTGTTCCAATGCTTAGAAGCATGACACAGATAATAGATACGCCAAACATGACTCTGCAACACTCTATAATATGATATGCCCATGTAGAAAAATAAAATTAAATAAAAATCATTCTTAGTTTTTTCACTCTCCAAATACTACAAGGAGACCAACAATTATGCAAGGTAAATATGATATTAAGCTGTCAGATAACTGTTCTTATGGTAGTAAACCATCCCTGTATTTAGTTCCATTGCTATACTTGGACATAGGCACAAGATATGACAGAGACTTGACAGGGACTCTATAAAATATGGATCTTGTTTAATTTTCCGAGTCATGTTATACAAGTGCTAAATATGGCTATGACCTATTTAAATTTAGCCAGTGTTTCGTAGTTTTAATGAAGGTTGGTTTGAAGCAAATTGACAAGTGCTGGATGATTTTGTTTCCAGCCAGTGGCTTCTACCATAAACACATTGGCAGGCGCATTGTACATGGTATTTTGTGCATCCCCTGATCCAGCGAGGAAGGAAATGCGCCAAGCATGTTTTGATTATCTCAGCCTTGGAGGCATTTTCTCAAATGGACCAATATCTCTACTGTCTGGTTTAAACCCTCGCCCACTGAGCTTGGTTCTCCACTTCTTTGCGGTGGCTATCTATGGCGTTGGCCGTTTGCTAATCCCATTTCCTTCTCCAAAGCGCGTGTGGATTGGAGCTAGATTGATTTCAGTGAGTAATTTTTAGTTGACAAATTTTTTATGTTGACTCAATTAAAAAAGAAAAAGCAAACATGAATGAATCATTCAAGTACGTTGTAGGTGAATCCCATTGAAAAGTGAGGTTGATGTGTCTGACATCTTTACAAGTCTGTTCATATTTGCTTTGCTCCACTGGTCTAACTCAATAATTTATCGTTTTGAGTTTCTCATTTGGATAACTTTAATTTACCTTTCAGGCTTCACTGCTTAATCCACAGCACATTATGATATGTATACATTTTTTGGGCTACATTTTCAGGGTGCATCAGGAATCATTTTCCCCATTATCAAGGCCGAAGGAGTAAGGCAGATGTTCTTTCCGGTGACAGTGCCAGCATATTACAGAACTCCTCCTGTTCATTTACATGACTCAAACTGAAACCACATATAGAATGGAGAGAAATTTTCAAGTTAGTTCCTACATATAGTTTCTGCTGTAGCTTTCTTTCTTTCTTTGCTTGTTTGGAAGGGGTAAAAGAAATTAGTTGCCGTTCCTTATTTTCTTCCCTCAGGCCTGATTAAGAACAAAAACTGTGGACAATTGCTGCTTCATTTGTATTTTGTTATCTGAATTGTGAAAAAAGAAAGTTCCATGAGCCTATATTCCAATTGTAAGATATACAGACAATATTATAATACTATGCTTCATCCTTCATTGCCAGTGCTAGATCATGTTTTAGGCTGCTCTTATGGTTTGTCCGTGTTCATAAGACTAAGAAAAGTGAGTGGAGAACAATTGATGCAGTGATGGAAGGTCATAAAATGGAAGATTGTAATTGAAAGGGTGGGATTTGAAAGATGCCTGATTAAGGCAGGCAAAAACAATTACAACATGTGAAGAATGATTCTTCAACGTTATTTGGAGGGTAAGGTTTTGGCTTTGGAGGAGAAATGAATTCTGGATCACAAGTCACCAATCTTCAAAGGTTTCTGTTTCGTATGAAGAATGAATTTATGACTTTTGAGGAGCGCCTGACCATGCGTAAAGATCTGCAGCAACAGGACTGAAGATTGGAGTACATACTTATGAGAGATGAGGGGTAAAGAATGAATTTATTAAGCTATATGATTTATATAATTCAATAACAATCAAATTATGTTCCAGACAAAAAGAGTTAGTTCCTGTTTGGATAACATTTGGAATTAATTTTTGAGATCAAAACTATGGTTTTGTAAAAGTATATATAAACACTCATGTAATAATTGAACATTAAAAGTTATTTATCAACATAGTATTTTGACCATTTCATGTGACCAAAATATTTGCAATCCTTCCATGGGATTTTAAAAGTTGATGTTAGTTAAAAGGGACAAAAAATGAAAAATACATTGATGTTTCCTCAATTTTATTTAATTATAGAAATTTTTTATTTTAATTATAAAAAAATTTGGTTTGCCAAAGTTTGAATTTTATATTTTTTTGGTATGAGCCAAATATCTCATTTCTTTAATGCAAACAAGCTCAATTGACAGCTTGCAAGCACTTTTTTAAATTAAGGGGAGCAAAAATTATATTGAATTAAACACCACACTTTATATTTATTTTTGTCGATACCATATTAGTTGAGATGTCATTATTTTATCACATAACAAAATGCATTCTTAATACAAAATTATTCCATCTCATCTATTCACAACCTCCAATATTACCAATAAAAAATGTTAATCCATTACTACAATTTCATGAAATCAACAATAAAGAAAATGTTAATCTATTACTACAACTTCATGAAATCAAACATAAAAGAGATGACAATCAAAATATATACATAACATCTCATGAGCACAAGTTCCTAAAGAACTCTCTATAAACAACATCTAAAGTTATTTTTCTATCAGTATTTTAATGATGATGAAACAAAATCTATCATCCATCCATACTTCTTACCCTTAACAATGTCACATACCATAATTTTACTTCCACGTAAATTGCATAGGAAGATTATACATAATATTGATCAAATATAGTGATTAATTTTTATAATAATCTATTGATGATAGGATTTGCTTCTTTTGTCATCTTTCCTGTAGAGAAATTAAAACTGCATCTTTTTATGATATTATAGTCTACAATTTTTTTATTTAAGATATAATGTCTTCATCGATATTGTGTATATATTTTAAATTTAAATTTAACACCTTCACTTTATAATTTAAGAACTTTTTATTTTTATCATACTCATACAATTATTTTTATTTTGAATGTAGCTAGCTTTTGCTTTCCTGTGCAGTACGTGATGAGATTATTATTAACATCTTATTAAACTATAAATAAATTAGTTCTACATCAAAGTTATCGATAAAAGGAGAATTATTTTTTTTTTATAGAAGAAAAACACCAAGTTATTATTAGGTGTTAATAGTTAGTACACGAAGACAGAGAAATTAAATCAGTTTGCAGCTCTTGTTGGAAAAACTGGGGAGGTAGTGAAAATTGAAATTCCCATACCACTCAACATAGACATCTTAGCCAATTTGTTGGCCTCCCCATCACACAATCATATGGAAGCAACCCAATCTCTTTTCTTAAGGATGTGTATTTCCAAGAAAAATTATAATTATGATGTGATGTTTCGCATAAAAGTTACATGAAAGGAGGATTTTAACATTGATTATGCTCTGCTTGCCATAGTTTCTTGCAAGTAAAAGTTACCTATTGATTATGCTCAACTTGCCATGGTTTCTTGCAACTGCAAAACACAATTGATATTGACTACATCAAGTTTGTGCCCCCACATTATTTCAACTCAAGTGCTTTTCAAAGCACATGTGAGGATGGTAAGTTTCATATAATTTATGCATATATTTGTTTAATTATTTTATAATAAACATAGGTTCTTGGCTAAAACTGTGTGGTCAGCTAACAATGCTTTCGTTTATGCTGTAATCTTCTTTTTGTCTTATTGTGCTCCTTGCAGCACACGTGTCCAACTTCTTGTGCACCCCTTGTGTGACGTTTATCACCTCATTGAATGAGACAAGAAATTTTACACGAAAGGGGCATGTTGCTTTTCTAATTGACAGGTGGCACCATCTTGTAATAAAATAGGGAGAATTTCAATAAAAGACCCTTGATCAATTTCATTTACATCAAACCCCATAAATTTTTAAAATTTTACTATAGTTCAGAAGTATTTATTTAACATTAAATTTTTTAGGAAAATAACAAAATTGTCCCTTCTTTAAATTAATATCAAGATTTCCTTACTTTGATTGTTAATTATCCTACTTCATATGTTCAACAACCTTGAAGGGATTTTTTTAACCTTTAAAACTAACTGATAGATTTGATAAAATCAGTAGAAGAATATAAAGGCAAAATCAAATCTATATAAACCCATGAAATCATTCCTATATCAAAATTGAGTAATAGAGATAGAACACTGAAGCATACTTGAATCCATCACCATGTTTCTGTATTTGATTATATCATTGAAAATGTGTGTTTTCTGGATTTATTATAGTGGGAACTCTGTATGTTTCTAAAAGAGGGACTAGAGAACATTTCCTCTATCTAGCCAAACCAGTGACCACAACCTTATTTGTAGAGTTAATAAGTTTGTGATATTTATGATTTGACCTCTAAACAAATCCTAAATATTACCTTAGTCTCTACACATTTATCCTCACAATTATACCCCTAAATTTCAAAACTTTAATCTAAATAGATCACTTTATTTAGACTTAATTTAATAATAGTCACCTATTTTTAACATATAAATGTGTGGCCCATACGTTGGATTTCATTTCCAACACAAACATGATTAGCTTCTTTTGAGAGTCAACAAGAAGATAGAGAAATATAATAAAAAAAAAATCACATTTAACCTCCTTTGTCACAACTACTATTTTTAATTAAACTTTGTCTCTATATATTTTCATACCAAACTTTTAATCATCTGCTAATTAATTATTTGATTCTGTCATTCTATGTGATTTTATATCATTAACAAGGTGGACCTCATGGAATCTTTCGCCTGGGAGGCGGAAAAAGGAACCACACCCTGTAAAACCTCTAAGCATGGTATAATATGTCACATATTTTTTATTTTTTGTTAATATTGATGGATCGATTGATATATTTTAGTTAAAAAAAATTAATCTAATATTTTATTGTTCATCATGGAATATACAATTATCAATGAATTGGAAAACAGGGTTCAAACAATAGAATAAAGAAATATATAAACGCGAAATAATCACCAAGGAGTGGTGTCGTGGTGTAGTTGGTTATCACGTCAGTCTAACACACTGAAGGTCTCCGGTTCGAATCCGGGCGACGCCATCTCGTTATTTGATTTTTCATTTTTGCGCAGCGGACCCCGCGATAATCCCGGCCAATAAAATTCCTTCAGTATCAAATCCTCAGTCTCATTGTGTGTCATTCTTCGTTACGACGAGATTCAAACCTAGGTTTTTTAAAAAAAAAAAAAATTAATAAATTTACTCAGCCATCTAAACAGTTTATATATAATATTAATTTTTTTTATAAATCAACTATTCAAATGCATAGTTCAGATTTACATTTTTTAACTTGTATTTCAAAAAAATATTTTTTGGAAAGTACATATTAGAATATTATTTTTAAGCTTAAGTATATTGTCCTCTAACTTTAAATAAAATTTCAATTTGGTTCTTTGACATCATAAAGTATATTTTCAATCCTTTAATTCTAACATCATTAATTTTAGAGGATTAATTTTTTGTACTAGTCATTGTTATTTTTTAAAAAATAAATCTAATATGTCACATTTGAAAATATTTTGTTAATATCTAAAAGTTCAGTTTAAAAAATTTTTGTGAAGAAACTAATGATATTAGGGTTAAAGGACTTAAAATAAACTTTATAAAATTAAGAAATAAAAAAATCTAGTGGAAAGTTGAAGGACTAAGGGATACTTTAACCTTATTTTTATTTTTAATATTTTGTTACCAAATTAAGAATTTACAAAAAAAATTTAATATTAAATCTATCCAAATATATATAAATAGTAAATTTATAAAAAAATTTAATGTAAAATACAGTGCCGTCCCATCTATTTTGCTAAAATTACAGAGATCTCCCCGCTGTTTTTAATACATAGAGAAATAGAATTGTTACAAATAAAAACAATAATAGAAACTAAAAGTAAAAATATATCAAAAAATAATGAAATAGAAAATGAAGAAGAAAGTAAAATAGATAAAATTCCTTTTGAAATAGATCGACAAAAGTATTGAAATGTTATATCTCAAGTAATTTATAGAAAATGAATATGTCAAATGAGTTTAGTAATAAATAAAGAATTTTTAAGAAATTTGGTAGTCCTCAAGTGCAGATATGAACTACATATAGGAAAGGTTAATCCCAACAAAATGTTATGAAAAAACTTTAAAAAAATTAAACAAAGCCAATAGCTCAAAATTAGACATACAATATAAATTAACAAATGCACACATATGTAGCAAAGGAATATACTTTAAAAATATTTTCATTTTAATTAGAAATCTAAGCGTACCCCCTATTTTAGGAACTCTATTTTTGGAGCAAATATCACGATTTAAAATATATCATATAGGAATAGTTACAAAAATACTAGGAGAGAGTATAATAATAGCCAATGGCTCAAAATTAGAAAAAATATTTGAAGGTGAGGTACATTATAAGCTTCTTCTTTCTTAAAGGTAGACCAATTGGTTAATATTTCATATAGGTTGGCTGAAGTTATTTCTATTTCTCCAAAAATTTGATTTCCTATGACTTCATTTATGTCATCTTCGGGTTCACTAATTATATTTGATTGTATACTGAGACTTTTTAGACTCATCCTATCTTCCTTTATGAATTCAGATCCTAAAGTTTTGTTGAACAAGCTCATTTTTCTATTTATATTATCTTTATTTTCTACTATTCATCTTCTTTCTAGATTTGATGGAATATCACTGCCTGTTAGATATGGCAACACACCCAAGAGGGGGTGAATTAGGTGTTCATAAAATTTTTTGGTTCTTTTTAACAAAACTGTGTTCAAACGAAAGTTTAGGCAAATTTAATTACTAAACTTTGATTGCAAGAATGTTAAAGTAATGTCCACAAGCTCAATATATGTAAAATTAAGTCAATGCTTGCCACCCTAATA